GAGGTCTGGCTCCATGTGGGAGCTGCTTGCTCAGGTCTGTCATGCTGCCAATGGGTTTCGGGGTGCAGACGTTTGCCTCTGGTAGATGAGGGGAGCAGCACATGTTGGGCTTTGCATCCCACCTCTCTGCTCCAGGCAGCTTTTCATGTGCCCGGGGTGATGGCCTCATCCCTGCTCGCAGGGACCCTGGCTGGTGGCTTTGTCACATCGCTCCGAAAGCCACCAGGTCAAGCACAAAATAAAGCAGAGCGTGAAGGGAGCTGCTGCCAGATGGCTCCACTGCCTGGAGCTGGGACGGGGCCTGGGCAGGACCGGGCACAGACGGGCTCAGCCAGGACTGTCCAGTCGCCCGGTGGGCTGGGAAAAAAAAAAGGCAGCTCCAGCCCCTGCCACTGCCACCCCCAGCATCTGGGACCCCCCAGCTTTGCATCCTCAGTCACAAAAACTGGGCTCCCTGAAGTGATGCTTGTGATACCCCAGTGATCGTCCCGAGTGAAGAGCTTGGTTTATTGCACTTACCTGGCCAGGTCTGTGTCCCTGTAGGCTTCATTTATCACCTTTTCCTCCTTGTCTCTTTGGCAAGGTCCCTGCTCAGATCCCTTTTTCCGAGCGGATGCTCTCACCTCCCATGTGCGCCCACACGGAGCACCCCATGGGCCTGCTTTCATGACACACCTTAGGGCAGCAGCTTTCCCTGAGCAAACCCTGCTCCATGGCCTCACCTCTTAGCCAGGGTGGGAATTCCAAGCAGTTTTTAAGCTAGTGCTGTGCTTTGCTCCCTCCCCGGCATCGCCTCTGGATGGAGTCGGGGTCCAGTCGCTGCCAGAGGAGGCCGTGGTGTGGAGCTGTGGAAGGGGAGCCTGGAGACACCAACAGAAGAACATTTCTGGAGCAAAGGCAGTGCCCAAATCACTCAGCACCTTTGGGGTTAGAGCAGAGGCAGCGCAGGAGGAAGCGGGTGACAGGCTGGGTCGCAGAGGGACAGTTTGGGTTGGTTTTCAGGCAGGGAAATGCTTCCCTCGGATGGGGCTGAGCCCTCTGTATTCCAGCACCATCCACAGAATGGAAGACCAAGAGGAAACCTCCCCTCCTCTGGAGCATCTCCCCTTGCAGCTTCTGGGTGACGTCCAGCCCTGTGGTCCAAGATGCTCTGCAGTGACCTCTGGGCCGGGGAAGCGGAGACAGCTCAGCTGCAGGAACAGCAAAACCAAGCTCCTTCCGCTGCCTCTAATCTCCGTGCCTGGTCTGTGCTGTGGCTTCTCCCACAAGTGTTAAAGCTGCTTCTCAGCCCTCCAGAAGAGCCACCCCTGTTTTTCCTGGCAAGGCAGAAAGATCCCTCATCGGCGCCACAAACAAGCGGCTGAGGTACTGTGCGAGAGCTGTTTCACTATGGCACGTCAACGAGGCTGGGTCCCCAGGTTGAGGTGCCTCAAGAATCAAAGCCCAGAGTGTGCTGGGAAAGAGGTGCCTTGAAGCAGAGGAAGGGGAGACATTTGTGCAAGGCCCCTTTTCCCAGGGTGTATAAAGGGAGCGGGTGGGGTGCAGGGGCTCCTCCTGGGGTGCAACCTTCCCCTTCACTGTGCTCAGCAAGAAAGGGGGGAGCTGGTTATGGCTGAGACTTCTGCAAGGAGACAGTGATGACAGGAGGGGGGTTGTGCTGCTCAGGAAGCCGCAGGTTCCTGCCCATGGCTGCGTGTGCTGATAGAGGCCA